CTACAAATTCTTTTATGACTTATGGCTCTTTTAGACCTTCAGTCTTTCCCAGCAATAAAAACATGTTAAGGAAAGGGAATTGGCAAACTTAAGCCTTACAGGGAAGCTATATCAGGATAATAATGTAATTAACCATCAAAATTGTTCCAGCAGAGCAAAAGTGATCTTGATTTAGTTTTAAAAAAACATTACGTATTTGAATAACTCTTTAAACCAGGTGTTTGTAGAGAAGCAAATTAAAGCTGCTTCCTCCTGCCCTTTCAAGTATTAAATTCTGAGATTCATTGGTTGACAGCGCTTGTTGACATTCAGTGTGCCTAATGCAAACACAAGTACTCTTCTCATTTTAATTTGTAGTGTGCTGGGAAAATATATTATATGACTTCTGAGAATTTGAGGTGCATTCCAGGTCAAATTTATTCCAAATTTGCAAGTCAATTTGCAGGACAAAAGAGCAATTAATCTGCCAGATACAGTGTACCTCAAACAGAATTATTGGTTGCTTGTAGCACAATCTGTAAATAAAGGCTAATAAGATGACTTACGAAGTCTAGCAACATTGTCTGACACTGGAACAATGTAATTAAAATTAACAAAGTGTTATGGTTCAAACAGCTTGTGCAAATATATTTTAAATAATATAAATATATTTTAAGTCTCTTTACCAAGAGGCTGTGTCTGGTCAACTCAGCTTGAGGAACTCACTGACTGGTTTATTGAGATTAGAAAGTTGGTGGATGAAGTTCAATGGCCTAAGAATCTGTTGGAGTCCAACTAGATCATTTTAAGCTCTTATCTGGTTGCAAAACACTAAAGCTTCTTTTCATTCCAGCAAACAATATGATATGGAATGTATCTCCTGTCCAAATCAAGTTTTGGATTTTATGTGAGCTAGAAGGAAGAAACATGTGTTGAGAGTGTCTCTGCTGATACACAGTAACTTCTTCTTGGAAAAAACGTAATTAATTAAAAAATCAGTGTTATTTCACTTTTTAGCTGGAAATGCATAAAATCTGAAAATCTTCTAATTTGTTTCTAATCAGCAAGATCATATTTAATATTCTGATAGCGATAGACTAATTAAAAGCAAAAGCAAGCTCTGGGAATAATGTCACATTTTAGATGTTTATTTCAGCTAATTTGTGCAAATTCATGCAAAAAAAATCTGTCTGCTCACTACCTAAAGCATTGACTCTAATTCTCTTTGAAGAAGAAACACACTTTTGGACCTTGTTTAAATTCTTAACCATTAAAAGCATCCAGCATATGTTGTCTGAAATATCCTGTCATAAATCTCTATTCTCAGTTGCTTTTCATTGTTTATAACCTTTACTAAACTAAGCACTGGATTGTATCTTAGCTTGCTGAGTGCCTGCCTGAAGCAAGTTTTTTATAGTTTTGCAAAAATTGATAATTTATTTCTTTAAAAAAATTGTTGCAAAGGGAAAACTTAGAATCCTTTCATGTGGGAATTATAAAAGAGAACCTAAAGACTGAAATTTGGTGGGGACACTTTTGTAGGGCTCTGATTTTGATTGTCAAAAACCAAGGCTGACATTGGGGGAAAAACCTCATATGAACATATTCTTTAGAGTCCTGCAGAATCTTGTACTGGAATTAAAGCCCCCAGCCCATGCCTGCTGCAGCCTGTGCTTGTGTGTGAACCACTGAACAAATGATCTCGCTCCTTGTCTTGGCACTGGGGGCTTAGCAGCCTTTGCTTTTTCAGTCTGTTTGATCTGAGAGCCAGGGCTGAAGGCAAGGAGCAGGACTGTCTTGAATTTACAGAAGGAAATGAGAAAAGTAGTTGGGATAGAAGAGGAAAAGCAGAAAAGAGAAGTTTGGGAGCACAGAAGAACCATGCAAAAAGGCCTGTGATTTCTGCAGGAGCTCTGTCAGCATCAGGAATGGAATTCATGACCCCTCATTTTCTACTGTGAGCAAAGAAACATGGAACAAGCAAGTGAAGCTTGGCACACTCAGAGGGACACCATCCTACAGCTGCCATAGGCTTCCTTAGTGGGAGGGGCAGGGGCATAGTGTGATTGTGAGAGTCTGTGTGGTTTATTGAGGTACTCCAGAAAAGAGCTGGGTTGGGCACTGCAGAACAAAACTCATGCTGGTGCTATAATATAGCAATATATAGAAATAGAGAGAAATTTCCAAGCTTTTTAAAGACAAAGAAATTATGCATTGAACAAGCTTTGCAAAAATTAGCATCAAAAGCATTTAAAAGAGCATAAAATTGTTCTTGGCTGATCCATCTGTAAAGATCTGGTGTTTACAGGAGTGGTGGTCTCACAATAACATGATTTCAAACCACTGGTGGCTATGAACATCATTGCTTTGCACCTCAGGTCTCATACAGAAATGGCAAGAAATCCCACTGAGATGATCACTCTGTTACATACTTACCTGCTGGGGAAACTACAATTTCACAGGAAGCAGCTACTACAACCTTACTTGAAATGTGAAATGAAAGTCAGCCTTAACTATGTAACACCAGTTTAATCTGAATGCTACACTTTTCTTTGACTCCATTTTGGATTTGCTCTTCTTTCCCCCCCCTATTTGTTCTCAATTTTGTTTTCTCCTCTTCACTGCAGCATTTTTCTTCTGAAGGAGCATACTCTGATAACCTTGCCTGGAAGCAGCAAAATTATAGATAAAAGGTCTACATTTGAAACAAAGCCTTTCTTCAAAATGCAGCCTTGCTTTTTGTCTCAACTTTTAAACAGCACACAAAAATATAGGGAGCACAAGTTACATTGTGAACTTTAAAGGATGCTCAATCTTTGGATCTATTTTTGATTGTAAAGTGCCAGTCACAGCTCCTCATTGGTATGGTCTATAGATAGCCTTGCTTTATAAATGTAAGTGCTTTTATGTGCCAAAAAACCCCACCACTCTAATATAATTTGGATTAGGTCATAGCTAATTTACAGTCCTTCAGACCCCAAACTTGGAGAAAGAAGAGTACAAAAAGTAGGTTGAATGATAGGAAATGTCAAGCTATGTATTTGATGACCAGAAATCTACGTGACATGTATAATCTATCAAAATTATATATATCTGTTATATCTATCAAAATACATTAGTCATATATCCTGTGTAGTCCCAAGCACATCAGAGTCTGTCCAGTGGTCTTATATGGCTGGCTGTAAGAAAAAAGGCTTTTGTTGGAGTTCAAGGAGTCCTCTCTGACACTTTTTCCTCCACTGTCGTTAAGGATATTTTATTAGGCCCTTGCAAGAAAAAAAAATCTAAATTTTCATATGTCCATTCATATATTTTTTGGATTTGAATTTAGAAGTATCAAAGGAATAAAAAGCCCCTAAATGTAGCAGTTAAAGCCCCATCTCTTCATATGCTTCTTTAAAATCTAAAGCTTAAAAGACAGTAATATTTGAGAAGGCTTTTTTGATTTCTTAGAGAAGGACCTAAAAAGCCTGCTTGAACAGAGGTCCCATCTTGCTTTCTTCTTGTTTTTTAATTCTTGCAGATAACCAGCCAAGCTTTTCATGCTTCTATTAGCCAGTGAAAATAAAAGTCAGAATCAGTTTAAGATAAATGGGGTTTCCCATTTATCAGGATATTTTCTGAAAAATTATACCTGGCTCGACCTTTCATGCATCAAACACCATCAAACATCAGAGGCTGTGACTATTGAAGTAAACTGTGTTTTTTACAGTCATTACACACACACACACACAAAGTGACTGTAAAATCCAAATGTATTTTGTAGGGCTAATTCTGTTTAAAAAAGATGATTGTACACAGATTTTTACTCAGCAAGTTTGAAATATGCTTATACTCAAATTCATGTCTAAAATCTCTTGGCAAAATTACATTTTGTGAATCTCTGCTCTAAACATTTGCAGAAATAATGTTGGAAGAGAAGAATCTAACCTTTTTTTTAGTTCTTTTATCAACATAAATTTCTCAGTTCTGACATTTATCATTGGTGACAGTACATGTGATAGGCAGAACAGAGCTGACTTTCAGAATTCAGTTTAAAACTGCCAGGCTGAAAGTTCTTTTTCAAGTTGCACCCTGAAGAAACTTCTCTGGCAATGGTAAACACAGTATTCATGAGTTTTGAGAGGCTGGGACAACTGCACCTCCAAAATCAGCCTTTCCTGTGAAGTTCCTGCTGACCTCACCCAGACTCACCATCCTGACTTCCACTGCTCCCATAAAAGGCTGCGTGCTGCCCTAGGTGGAGGGAGTGAGGGGTGTGGGGGTGTGGGGAGTGAGTGCTTGCATGCACATGTGTGTGTCAGAGTGCAATTCATCTGTTTTCTCCATCTCACTCACATTTTTATCAAGCTCATTTACCATGGCCTCCAGAGGAAACAGTAGAGAGGGTACACCAGATTTTCAAGCTGTTTCGTAAAAATCTCCCTTTTTTTTTCCTTTCTTCTCTGGATATTTGCCAGCTCTTACAACATGGATTTAGTATGTGGGAAAGCTGCAGTTCTTAGTGGTTATTCTGGAGCTTTGGTGCTAAAGTGCTGATTTAGCACACTAGGAGTGGCTGAGTAAAGAAAAGAAAATCAGGTAAGGGATGAGACAGGTACTAATCACTTTTTTTGGCAACATCTAAAGAGCTTTTGTCATCCTAAGTAACCTTCTTTCTCATCCCTATTGCATTCATGAGGGTGGTCACTTTCCAGCTTTCATACATCTCTACCCTGGTCGACCCAGCCCTATAATGGTTTTCTGTGATACATTTGTTGCTTTCCCAATGTCCATCAGGCATCTCAATTTAAAAAAGTATAGCTATTAATAAAGCTTTTCTTGCCCCCACATATTTAATTCTCAAGTACCTTCACGACATTAAAGATCATTGGTTTTGTGTTTCGTTATCTGCATGAGTTTGCTGCTCTTTTTTAATCTGTCCTTGCCTCTCCTCATGATTTCCTGTACTCTTTTCTCCCATGTTGAGTGTAGGGTACAGTTTGTCTCCTGGAATTGTAGCAATGTTTTCTGCTGCATCACCCTAGCTATTAAATAACCTGGAAGAATGACTTCTGTCATGCTGCCTACCAAAATGGTGAATGATGTGGGTAAAGACAAAAGAACAGTGAGAACTATTTATGAAACCCCTTTATTTCTGATATTAAGAAAACATTGATTCATCTTAAAAGCCATTAATCTTTTTGACTGTGGTACTCTGAGTTCTTCTTTTTCCATAGACAGAAACGACCTTGTTGTTTTCCTAATTGTTTGTAGAAAATTTTAAGGCATTGCCAGAAATATAGAGAAAAAATTGAATAGTGAAACTGAAATTGCCTTTGTGATTCCCACGCCTCTTGAATAATTGTATTCTGATTTGTCCATATGCATCTCTTTCAGAAACAATAGTATCATCATTCCTGGCAAAGAATGCCTCCTTCCTTGGTTACAGCTCTGAAGAGAGGGCTGGTACTTGGATAGAAAAATAAGGAAATGGATTCCTCAGTTGGTGCAGTCTTCATTCTTGGAGCCCCCCAAAAGCATTAAACTTGTCACCAGCTAAAAACGAAGAATTCATAATAAACTTTTCAGTAAGGTTTATGTCTGTTAAAATGGAAAACAGTGCCCCTTGCAATAGCTGGCATTTACATAGCATAGTGTGATTAAAACTAAAATTTTCTTTTTCTTTGTGCCCTTTGCTCTGGCCAAGCATTTAACAGGCAGCACACAAGGGTGATTGATCACTGCATTCATCTGAATCCAGTTCAATGGTGTGGGATTAAAGGTTTACCTTGCAGAGTGTGTGAGGGTTAGGATGTAAGAAGAAGGTTGGGAGCTTAGAGTGAGGCAGCTGAAGCTTTGGCATGTGGTTCATTGGTCGTTGCAATTTGGCAGATCAGCCTGTAGAAGGTTGTAAAGGACACTGGAGGTTTGAAGTCTTGTGTGTCCTTTAAGTCCCCTTCCCCCATCCACCAGCCCTCTACCCAGTCTGGGCTCTACAGAATGGTTACTGCACACAGACCTCATAATCAGTGAGGTACTTTTAGAATAACTTGGAAAATAATTTTATACACAGACTTGAAAATTCTCCAGAACATGTTCTAAAGTAAAAATGTATTTGAAAATAATTTATTAATGTCAAAATTGTAGTGTGAACCATCAATTGTCCTTGTATGCTGTGGCCCGGTTTACATTGTACCTGACGCTCGTCAGAGTTAGCAGCCTTGGAACAACTTCATTTATGGATATCAGAATCCTTTTTCAAGTGTTTTCCCTGTAATAGGCCCTTCTATGTTTCTGTTATAGAATTCCACCTTTGTTTACCTGTTAATTCTAAGCCTTATCAACATAATCTCCCTTTCTACTTACAAGTCAATAATATTGCTGTTTTCCATTTTCAACAGTTAAACTCCTCCTGTTTTCAGAGATATCATCAACCACATTAACAATATGCTGAAGTAATTTTAGTGCAGAAAATTTCCATTTCTATTTTTATGGGTATTTTTCATTATTGAAAAGAAAATAATTTGTATTTATTTACTTTGTAAATATACTATCATTATTTTATGTGTGATATTAAAATCATATATAAATTTCTCACTGTTAATGAAATTGATGATCAAGTATCCAGAGCAGATATAATTCCCCAAATTTATTTAAAAATGGAAGAGGAAGGAATACCTCTGTTATCCTGTCACTGCTTCTGAAAATCCTCCCTCTTGAACATTATCATCTCATGGGGCTTACATGGGTACCTAGTACGTCTTGAAAAAAATTATGCTTGTATGTGTTCTGCATTTAATCTAAGACTTATGAATTCAATTGTAGCAGTGTTTTATGCATGAATTGATTATCTGGGGCAGCTGCCCTTTCTGTGTAAGGATTACAGGTCACACTGATTACAGGTACATCAGCCCTACTTCCATTGCACGGAGGTACAGCCTGGTCTAGAGAAAAGAGCAGTGGTCAATATTATTTTAGATGTATAATATTTAGCAGAATGAGGTAAGGGTTAACACGGAAGTTCATGCTGTTTAAATAAAAAAAAAAAAGCATCACATTCTTTCTGTATTCCCCAAGGCTAGCTTTCCCTGGGAAAAGGTAGACAACAATGGTACATTGTTATAAGAAACTCAAAGTGTTTTAAGATGGAGGTTGATAAGTTTATGGATGGGGATCCCAAAACAAGATAAGAATGACTGTGGAGTTAGAATTAAAGCTTGAGATCATTGCTCTTTTGTATCAATTTATTAGTAGGGCTGGTTACCAAATGTTGGTTAGAGAGGAGATTCTGTGTGTTTGCAATGCTTTAGCCTCCCATTACAGGATTTCTGTTCTTAGCTCTGGCAGTCAGGTGGGTCCTGGGCTGGGTGCTCAGTGAGAGGCACTGCTGTTGTTTCTGGGGTTAGGAGCTCTTGGAGCATCTTAGGAGCTTTTGATCAATTTAATTCCAATTCTTACTGCTGTAAGGGCGTTTGGAATGACCACTCCTGCTTTCTTCTCATGGTACCCCATGGTATCCTTTTTCTTTGTGTCTCAGGCCCACAGGGAATCAGGAATAGCCTGCAAGCTGAGGTATGGGGCTGTTCCTGGAGTTGTATGGATCTTTTCAGACTAAATGCCTATTGCAGTTTTTCTTGGATTGCTTGGGACATCGTTCAGTGACCCAAGTAGTCTTTTTCAATCCTCTATTACTATGTTATAGACTGTGGTGGGACCTGAACCCAGAGAAGAACAAGCAGTGCTTGTAAGCTTGGAAGGCTGTTGGTTGTGCCTCTTACCTGCTTAGGGCTCTTCTTCTTGGTCAAATTAGAGATTTCTCCAGAAATCCCTATTGAGCATTTTGTGGATGTTGAATGTCACAAGAGCTGGTTTTGGCTTTGAGTGCAAAGTACATTTTTCCTTTCTCTTCTTTGTATCCAGGTGTAGGTAGTGGCACAGCTCTTTCCCAGAGAGACAGGAATTTCCTTTCTTGCATTTCCCAGCTCAACAGCATGACTTGTCTTTAAAAAAGACAAGTACTGGCATGTACTTGTAAAGCAATTCTAAGGTGATCACATCACCTTAGAATTAACTAAAAAGTCCAATGTGATATAAGTCTTCATTAAGATCACTGAAGGTTTTATGAGATCTACAAGACTGTAGAGGAAACCCTTTCAGAAAATCTCATATGTATTAATGAAAGTGCTCACACCAGTGTGTTCTAATGTGTAGAAGATTTTTACTTTAAAGAGTATCTCTGCTCTGAGAAAAAAATTATATGAACCTGACAGAATTTCACTTAGCAAATCCATTTCTTTGTTCTGTAAGGATTTTATCTGCACACATAAGCAACAAAAGTACTTTTGCTTTGTTTTTTATTCCTGCTAGACAGGGTAATTATGTCTTAGGTAAGAAGCTGAATTCTCTTCCTTTTTATACACTACAAACAGAATTTACTGCATTGCTAGCAAGGATATTTATGTAACTTAATGAGAACACAGAAAAAGGAGCAAAGGTTTGGATTGCTTCAGACAGGCTTCCCGTGAGATCACCAATATTTATTGCTTTGATCTTTCCTCAAGTTTCAACATTAAAAGAGGCAAAATCATATAAACAAGACTTTAAAGTTGCTGTCAACTGGTTAATTGATTATTAATTTTTTGAGATTACTTTGCTCCTGCAAAGAAAAAACAGCCAAAATAGTAATCTTTTATCTGTGGAAACACTGTTCTTCTGCCAATACCTTTTTCTTGAAGAAACAGCAAGGGAAAACAATTGTCTAAGGAAACATCATATACCACAGTATATAGGAACCTTGGTATTCATGTTCTGTATTCTGGTTGGTGTCCAGGAAAGTCTCTTCAGCATTCTGATCGAGGAAAGCTGAAGTTCTGTCTGCCAGAGAGATATTATGTTCTTTTTTGACCTTGCCTTGGGCAGGAGGATTTCTAGAGTGTTTAAAAGAACAGTTAAAACCTAGAGCAGATTTCACCTTACCTGTTTAAGCATCTATAAGCTAGCACATGGCCTAGTGTTCCTAGTCTCCTCTTGTAGTCTATGAGCAAATTTAAATAGCCCAGAAGGTGATTTGTGTCACTGCAAGGTAGGTCAGATAAATTATCTTCTGGAGAGGCCCATGTACCTTCTATTTACTGTAAAAGAGCCCAAGTAATCCAACTCAGCTTTGGATATCCAAGTCCTAGATGCCTAAAGCTTAGGTAGGATGAAGACTGAGCTGGACCCCTCAGTGGGGTAATTTTAGTCAGGTGCTTAAGTTTACCCACAGAACCCTTAAATGTAAATTTGGACCCACCTTAAGTAGACTTCCAGAAAAGTGCAGTAAGATATGCAGCAATGTGCAATATATTGATAACAACAACACATCAAGCTCAGAACAACATTTCTAATCACGTGAGAGTCTCGGATGTGCTGCACACATTTAGTACCCTCCTCAGAGCAGTTTTTTCCAAAGCAGAGGCTGTATTTGGCACCCACTTGAAGGAAAGCATTCAAATGACATAGAATTGGATTGGTTCTCTGTATCTTGCAAAGATCAAATAGAATCCATTAAAACGTTATTGATTCAAACTTTGTGCTGAAGTGCTGTCTGTGAGAGCTCTGCCATTAGCCCTTTGAAAGGGCTGATTAGACTCTGGCATGAGTTATGAGCAGAGAGAAGCCACCAAATGGCATTAGTGTGCACAGTGAAAGGCACTGGGCATTAGCAGGGGGCAGGACTAGATCCTCTGCAGAGCTCGCTTCCAGCCTCAGCTATTCCATGATTCTGGGATAACTGCACTTTTGGCATTCATGTACACCCCCTCTTCCCATGCCTGACTTCTCAATTGCTTTGCCCACCCTACTATTGCATTTTCTCTACCAAAAAAAAACCCCAAACTGAAACTAGATTTTAAAATATTTTTTTTAAAACCTTCTACTTTTATGCCAAAGAGAAAAATTTGCCAGGTGCCTGTGGTATATTTGAAAAGAAAGTAAGGAGCACTCAGATTCAAAATGGAATCCTTTAAAGACTGGCTAACCAGCCTGCCAGTAATGGGCTAGTCTGTGCTTTCCCCACCAGGTGGGAACAGAAACATCAATTCAATGAATGCATGTCAGATTGAGTGGAAACAAGCCCTAAGGACAGAATAGTGTGCTGAAGTTATCTACCCACACAGCATTAAAAAAAAATTGATCTGCCAGTCTTTTATAAGTATTTAACTGACACTTTGCAATGATCAAAATCAGACATTCCATTGGCAGAACACAGCATGCACTTTTCCTTTTAGTTTATGTACTGTTTTATGTGATTAAGAAATTGATCAGCTTTTTTGGAAGGGATAATAAAGATAATTGCATGAAAAATAAGCTACCACATATTATGTTAGAGGGTATTTTTGCTCTTTTCTTTGTCTTTAAATAAACAGTTCATTTGCATAAAATTTAGCTTATAAAATCATCCTTACTATAATTTAAAATATTTCAATAATTTAGAACCAAATAATAAAATTCTTAGCATATGCAGTCAAAATTAAATTTAAATAGAAAGGCAATATCAATATTTTTAAAATTTCTGCAGTCTTTTCAAGTTCATTTTTCCCAGTAAGAGGATGTTTTCTTTGCTGAGTTAAAAGTGAAAATAATGAATTCCATTCAAGATACAAGATTTGAAGACAGAAAATTGTTTACTATTCTAATTCCAGACTCCCTAAGCAAGCACTCACAGTCTGATTTATCTAAATGCAATGGTCCGCATTCAAACCATCTCCATGATTTTTTTGGTCCAGTTTTAGCCCTGTAGCAATGCTTTTGATTTCCAAAAGAATCAAAGAAAGCTGATGAATAAGGCTGTGGAAGTTTTATTTATTAAAATCAAAAGATAAAAGAATTATTTTGATTGGATGGATTCCCTTTCAATTTTTTGTCTGCTTTGGCATATGGTGTTTTTAATGAGTCAAACTGATGATTGATTAATAAATGTCATCTCTTAACATTATGTGCATATGATGACACTGCCAAAATTCAAACTCCTTGACTGCATTACACTAACTTACATTTTCAAATAATGTTAATGGAGCTCTGTGTCACAGAGATAATCAATCAGAGGAGAGATGATTTGCCTTCCAACTGCGCAAATAAATGCGCAGGATGTGTGTCAGAGATGCTTTGTTATTTCTGAGGGTGCCACAATAAAATACTCTTTTTAACAGAATGCTTAATTATTTTGTCAGAAGAACAAATGTATCAGTAACAAAACTTGAAACATTTGCTCTGTCAAGCCATATAATTTCAAGTCACAAACATCAGGTCTATACAGCTGACTGTATTTATTGTTTTGGCAATATGCTGATTGCCAGGTGTCTGACAATCTACCATGGGCAGTTCTGCACAAGCTGCCATGAGTCAGTGAAGGAAATAATTCCATTCAATTTGGAATGTACAGAATGTTTTGTTTTCTTTTCTTAGGGCATGTATTTTAGCTTCTCAAGGTGAAATTATGATTGTCATCTCTGATACTGCAATTGAGGCTGGGAATGTAACAGAAAGAACATGTAGACTCAGCCAAACTCAGAATCATTCTGTGTGCCCTGCATCCACTCTGGTTTTTACTTGCAAACCCAAGAGCTGTTTTTTCACTTTAGCTAGTGGCTACTTTGGGATGCAGATAAAGAACCTTTCAATATCAAAATGTTAATTAATAGGATAAGTCTACCTGCAGGTCAACTGAAATACTTTGCAGATGCATTTTACTCTTTCCTGGTATGTCTGTATAAAGTTTGTAAAGCAATACAAGGCCCATCAGTGTTGAGACTGCTTGGGTTTTCACCCAATCTTCATGAAAAAAGCATTCCCAGTGCCTTTACAGGGCAAGAACTGCTATTTGCAGAGGCATTAATGAGCCTTTCCAGCACTTTTCTCCCTTGCATGCCATTTCTCTGCCTGGGTTACAAGTGCAAAGAGAAATTCCCAGTGGCACAACTGGCAAAGGATCAAACACTGCTGATCTCTAGTTATAGATGCAGATGAACTTATTTTAATCCATTTATTGAAGTGTCACACTTTTGCTGATGAAGTCTTTCTTAAATTTAACATTTCTCAATGATTTTCTGCTAGGTGAGATAATATCCAAACCCATAACCTTTTCAGAAAGGGTTGCAAAGAGTTCTGCTTTATTTGACCTGCAAACACAAGCCACTAGGCATAGAGCTGGTTAGGTTTTTTACATTGTATTTGACTTTGTTTTTTCTGCCTATTATGTTGGAGAGCAAAATATCTGTATTACTTAAACAAGGGATGAACCAAAAGCAGATCACGTATTGCCTGTAAGTATTTAGCAGGTATAGCAGGTTCACTTCATATGAAATATCCGTGGTAGTTTTAAAATTCTGATTTATTTAGTTTTATTTACATTATTTCAAGTTTTTTATCAAAAGAGAGGTGTTTTTTATCAAAAGAGAGGTGAATGGGAGCCAGTTTTTCTTTCTATAAGGCCAGGATTAATTTCACCATATAGATACTGAAAGAAAAAATTACACTTGTTTGAGGAGCTTCCTTTCATGGTTAAACAGTACGAAAAAAACACTTCTAAATTTCTAGATGCCCAGGTGTTTTGCAATGGGAGGCACAATTTATGCTTCTAACAAACAGTTTGGGTCAATTCTCCCATTGGCAGCAGCACGTTGCTGCCAGGTATTTGCTTGGTGTTCTGCCAGGAGCTGTGGGCCAGTTCCCAGCACAGAGGTGTCCCCAGAACCCAAATTGCCACTTTTGTCACACATGGCAGCAGCCTGGGCAGCAGCAAGTGAAGCCTGAACACAAGGGGACATCAATTTCTCATCCTACCTGTGCTCTTTTCAAGTTAGGTTTGAGACACATTAGAAGTGGGTGAAAATGCTTCTGCTGCTGCTGCTCCCTTCATTCCAGCAGCTGCAGCTCTGAATGCAGAGAGGGGAGAGGGCCCAAGACACTGTTACTGAATTCCCCAGGTCTCAGTTTGGGCACAGAGGGACTGAAAGGAATGTCATTGATCCCAATGCCCCAGAGCACAGCACAGCTCCAGCCTAAGGAATGGAGATTTGCAATTGTCCTCTGAAAACAACTTTCTCCTGCTGACCACAGCCCTGCAGTGCTTTACCATCTTGTATGGGATGATTTGCCCGAGAAGCAGAACAGAACACTGGAAGTTCTCTTCATATTTTCTTGTTAATTTTCTTTTTCCTTGTCCTGTCTTCATCCCAATTTAGATGAATTCACATTCAGAGAATTCACTAGCAAAACAAAGAAGTGTTGCTATCCTGCTGTTCTGGACTAGATCAAAGTAATTTGAGGAACTAGTCAAAGCTAGAATTAATTTCTAATTGAAAGAAGAAAACAGTTCCTTCTTCCTTGGTGACAGGAATATTCTTGCCTTGTAATGCTGAAATGGATCTCAGGGAAGATGCATCTTTGAGTACATTATGGAAGCCATGAGGATGTTTGACTTTGCTGACAGCAGAGTCACGAGAAAAAAGAAATAAAAATATCCTCAGTGGCGTGTGTGGTAATTATAAACACATCCAAAGTAGGGTTCTCATTGCTATCAGTCCTCCTCCTGCCAACTGACCCATCTGGGCATCTGAAAGGTCCTTCATGTGATTTCTGTTGAAGTGCTGTGGTGTTTTCTGACTATTGACAATGGTCTCTTTGTATGTTGAGCAGACCAGGGTATATTCACTGTCAGTCAGCTGATAGAGAAATTATTTTAAAGTTCTTTCCTGGGTTGAGAGTTGGAAAAAAAATGATTGTTAAAATTTTAGGAATTAATTACTTTTTTCCCCCATTCAAGATAAAAAAGGAAAGAAAAGAAAAATTAACCATAAAGCCAGTAAGAGACATTTGAAGTTAAAATAGATCTATTCTAACCCCTGCAGAATATCATGGAGTATGCATTAATTCAGGAAAATAATTCTTCAGGCAGTATCATGTGCTTTCCCAGTTTCTAGAAACAGACACTTCATTTCCTTTCTCTAGTGAACGTAGTCTGGTTTTTCTCTGAAGGGCACAGGGACCATGAGTTCAAATGGAATAGAGAACAAAAAATGGTTTGGAGCTCACCTCTCAGAGGGGTTAAGAAAGGAGTGATACTGTAAAAAGAAAATGGTCTAAGGACTCTCACTGATCTGTGAAGTCTTTTCACAGAGTCCAAAGGGTCTTTAGCAATGGGCAGTGAAATAATCCTGCACCAGCCATGGCCAGGGATGGGGAGCAATGAGCA